AATACAATTAAATGTTAATAGTTTTAGATATTTTCAGCTGTAGAAAAATTAGTAGTTGTAGTATTAAAGGTATTAAAGAAAAGAAATATCACTTAGAAACAAATTATTTCAAATAACAGTTTTTTTTTGTTGCTAATAATAAATCAATAATTCTTTAAAATCATTCTTTGGATATACCTATGTGGAAAAAAAATTAACAAATATATTTTTTGTATCATTCTTACAACACACAACTTTTTTAAAAAATTTTTTTTTTGTTTTCTTGGGTTGTTAAGTTCACTATGTTCACACACAATAATAATTTAGTCGTTTATCATTCAACGGATCATTTATATCCATATAATTATTATAATAAAAAATATTTAAAAAAAATATTTTTTTTAATCCAAAATTAAAAAAAAAAATAAAAAAAAAAATAGATTTTTCAATCATTTATTTTATAGCATTTTTAAGCGTTTTTAGATTTTTTATTTACCCCAATACAAAACTTTTTTTTGCCAAACCCAAAAAAATGCATTACTTTCATTCTTATAATAGTTTTTTGACATTAAACCATTAAATTATTTTATTAAGAACTTTAACAATAAAAAACAATACATTAACAAACAAAAACCTCAACAAAAGTACATATCATTTTTTTTTTTTTTTTTTAAAAACTATATATCTTTTTTCTTATAATTAATTCTCATATACCAATTAATAGTGTTTTTTTCTCATACTTTTTTCGTTTTTTTTTTTTTTTATAATAATATTACTTGCGTAACACAAAACACAATTAATTTTAAAATAAATATTCCCTCAAAAAAAAAAAATTGTTTTCTAATTTTTTTTTTTCAAAAATATAGCAATAAAAATATAACCAGTATTTTTATCACGAACACATCTTTAGATAATCATTGTATGTAGTTTTTTAGATACAATAATCAAACACAACAAATAACCAAACCACTTTTTACTCAAACAATTATAATCAGTTTTGGTTTAGTTGGTTTTAAATCTCTCGGGAGAGGTGGAAGAGTGGAGGTGTTTAATGATGGTTATTTTATTTTATTTTTATTTATTTTTTTTTTTTTTCATTTTGATTGAAAACCCTTAACAAAAATCAAAAATTATCTTTTTTTTTTTTTATTTTTATTTTTTTTTTATTTTTTTATTTTTTTTTATTTTTTTTTTTAATTTTTTTTTTTATTTTTTTTTAAATTTTTCTATTCTCATTAAATATAACAATAATCAATATTTCACAAACTAAATTAATTTCAAAACTTTTTTTAGTTTTAGTTGTGTGTGTGGATTTATCAGATATTTTTATTTCATAATTATATATATATTTATTTATTTATTTACACACAAACACAATCACACACAATCATAAATTTTGATTATATATAATATCCAAAATTAATCATTGTTCTTGTATCAACACTATATAATATAACCTTTTAAATCATTGTATTTTTAATAATAAAAGAAAAAAAAAACCGATACACACCCACACCAATAATATAAAATATTTTTAAATAGAAACAATAAAATATCACAAATTCCACAAGCTCCGCATATAAAAAAAAAAAATTAGTTTTTAAAATTTTTTTTTTTCCCCATTGTTGTATTTTTAGAGTAAATTTCAATTATTATAAACACCCGATAAAAATTTAAATATCTCGTCTTTTTAGAGATATATTTATAAAAAAAGACCATTTTTTTTTTTGGTTTGAAAAAAAAAGCATCCATTTTTTTTTAAATAACTCTTTTAATCACCATCGCTATTATTAATTTTTTTTTTTTTAGTTGTTATTACATTACAATCATCTATTAATTTATAGAATATTTTAACTTACTTTAAAAATTTTTTTTCTATTTAGATTTATCAAATATTCAAATATATTATAAATAATAGTTATAGATAATAAAGATAATAGTAGTAATAATAACAACATATAATATAAATAGTTAATTTTTTCATAATTTTGTTTATTTTAAAAAATTTTTTTTTTATTTTTTTAAAAATAATCTAATAATAGAAACAAAAATTTTTTTTTTCATAAAAAAAAAAAAAAAAAAACCAACAACAACCATCAAAAATCAAAAAAAAATCAATTTTAAAATTTTTTTTTTCGAAAAAATTCAAAAAATAAATATCAACATATATACAACAGTAATAATCTCATTATATAAAAATAAATAACAGATATAATAAAATAAATTAATTTAAAAAAGAAAACCATTTTTTTTTATATTGATTTATATAATAATAATAAAAATAATAATAAAATAGTTATAAAAAATGAAATCAATAAATAATTTTAATAAAATTTTTGAAAGTAATATAAGTAAAGATGGTAAAAGTTGTAAAATTGAAAATGTTAAAATAAAGCAATCAAGTTGTCCAAATCTAATAAAGTTATTAAAAGAGAATTCAAGTATTTCAAATTTAACTATTAAATCATGCAGGCTAAAGGTATTACCAAGCGAAATATCTACGTTAGGGGGAAATTTAAAAAAGTTACATATTGAAGATAATAAAATTCAAGAGATACCCAATTTAGAGCCGTTAGAGCAATTAGACGAGTTAATTTTATCAAATAATGACATTAGTAAATTTCAAGTATCGATTAGTAAATTACCAAGTCTTAGAGTTTTAGATCTTTCTTATAATCAATTGGGTACCATACCGGTTCGTTTATTTAGTCTTAGTTCATTAAGGGTTTTAATATTGGATCATAATCAATTTAGTCATTTTCCATCACATCTTTGCGAATTGCAACAATTGAACACGCTTGGCTTCAGTGATAATGCATTAAAATCTATACCCAGCCAAATAGGACAAATGACAGGATTAAAGAAACTGATTTTATCTGGAAATCAATTAGAGTCAGTGCCAACGGAAATATCTTTGCTCAAATCATTAACTTATTTGGACTTATCATCGAATTGTTTAACTTCATTACCATCGGAGTATGGCAAGCTTTGTGGTTTAGAATATTTATTACTTCAACATAATAGACTTCGTCAAATTCCTGATGAGATAGCTGTTGGGTGTACATCTTTGGTGTCTCTTCGTGTAAATAATAATACCTTAACTGTGTTGCCATCAACTATTGGTCAACTTTCTCATATGTCAGAGTTGTACTTACAAGAGAATCGATTAACAACTTTACCTGCAGAAATTGGGTCCTGTGTACTATTAAAGAAACTTCATTTGGAATATAATAAAATCATATCATTACCAGATGAAGAAATGTCAAAATTAAATTGTTTAAATGTTCTCACTTTACACGATAATCAACTTGAAGAATTACCAACATTTTTAACAAATCAATTCTTTAAGCATTTAATTAGATTTACAATTCATAATAATAAATTCTTAAAAGAGAACAATATAGAAATTATAGATTCATTAAGATTTTTATGTTGTTATTTAATGAACAAAGAAAACTTAATTATACTACAACAACAACAACAACAACAGCAACAACAACAACAGCTCAACCAATTACAACAACAACAATTAGATTCAAATGGTAGACCTTCATTACAACATAATTCATCATTTATAGATTTAAATCAACCAATTTATTTAAATACATCAATTAGTAATGGTAATTTATCATCTTCACTTTTATCAAGTTCTTCATCATCAACCTCATATTTAAGATCTCCAAGTACTACTAATATTAAAAGACTGGGTAATAAAGATCAACCAATAAGTTCAAGTTCGAATAATTTATCAAATTATTTAAATAATAGCAATAATAATAGTTCAGTTAGTCACAATAATAGCAATAATATAACACCAAAATTAAATTTTAAATCTTTGGTTTCTTCAAGAGATTTTTCTTCAGAGGAATCAGATTCAGATACAGATTCAACTATTAGCTCTAGTTTTTCATATAGTGCTAAAAGATCATCACTTTCACCAAGAACAAGTTTAACTCTATCAAATAGTATTTCAAATGATAGCGTATCTGCTTTAGCAGCTGGTGGACTTTCAAATAGCTCAGGTGGCTTAGTAAATAGTTATAGTTCTTTAAGTCTTAGTAACCAAATCAATTATCATAATGTTTCGAGGGCAAGACGTGGTACAGGTGGTGGAGGTGATATGTCACCCTCTAGTTCATCAGAAAGACTTTCTTCTCAATCAAATTTATCAACCCCAAGACAACACTCATTTTTAAATTCAGTTTTAAATAGAAGGAAATCAACCATAAGTAGTAATGGACCATTATCATTGTCTTCCTCCAATTTGTCGCATTATTTTAATGGTAACAATAGTGGAAATACAAGTAATAATAGCAGTAGTGGTAATTCAATTAGTTTAAATAATAGTTATAGCGCACCGGGATCTGGTGCATCTTCACCAAATTTACAAGTTTTCCAAAATGGTATTGCACACTCCACTTCATCATCATCATTATCATCACCATTAAAAGAATCATTTTCATTTTCCTCATTATCATCATTACAAAATTCAACATCAGGTATGGTAAATAATCAGTCAGTTAATAATAATAGTAATAATAGCAACGGCAATAATAATATAGCAAGTAATGGTAATGGAAATACTACAAATAATAATATATCAACTACACCAATTTATAAATCTTTCCAATCAATTTTTGAAACACTTTTAGATGAATTGGATTACTCCAAAAAGAGAAGAGAAGAGTTATTAAGTTTAACTAGTGAAGAGAAATGGATTTTTTTACAAAGAATAAAACCAGATTGTACAAATTCTTTAATTAATAATGGTATTTATCAATATCAAAATCAAATTTCTTCAAATGATCTAAAAACTTTAATTTCATCGCCACCCAAATTAAATAATTCACAACAACATATAACATTACAAAAATCAATACCTTCATTATCAGTTTCTTCGTATGTATTAAAATTTAAAATTTAAAATTTAAAATTAAAAATTTAAAAAAAAAAAACTAACATTTATTTTGGTAATTAAAATAGATCTCCAAAAAGCCCAAGAAGTCATTTAAAAGTTTTACATTTAAATTCGTTGTTAACATTTGAAGATATTTGCAAACTAAAACAACAATTACTTGGTAAGCCAGTATCTTGGGTAATTAATTTTGCAGAATCAACAGGTATAGTTTCAATATTATCAATGATATCAACATATTCAAATAATAAAGAAATGTAAATATAAAATAATGGTTATAGTTATAATAGCACACTATATACTAATGATTTTTTTTTATTTTATTTTTTAAAAAATTTATAGGAAAACTGAGGATTATTTGGTAATTAACGAATGTTTATTATGTTTAAAACTATTGATCGAGTTAGAAATGAAATCTTTGTTATTATCTGATTTATCAGAAATTTTCCCATTGGTTTTATCGCCAGTTTTATCAACTAAAAGAAACGCATTTGAAGTTTTAGATTCTCTTTGCAAAACATTTTATTTGGGATCATCTATCGTTTTGGAATCGATTCATCTATATAGCAGAAAAAGTAATCAATCACTAGAAAAGGTATTTTCTTTTATAACCACTCCATTAGATGGTGAATTTGCAGCCGATCTAAAAGTTAACTGTATGTCATTAATCAATCATTTAATTAGTTCAAAACAATCTTTAATGGACCGTATAGAAATTCGTTCAAAGTTCTTATCAAATGAAATACTATTAATTTTAAAGAACTTAAGAATAGATGGTGAAGGTATTGAAACATCATCATGGAAGCAACTGGATAATGAAATGAAGTTATTTGAAACAATGATGGTCGATGACAATAATCAAATTAGTTTAATCGAAAATGAAACAAATAATGTATCCGCTTGTAGTGACAACCAAATAATAAATCAAAATGGTAGTGTAAATGGTGATAAAGATACACGTAGCAATAGCTTCAATGAAAACAGCAGTTTCAGTAGTACCAGTAATATCAATAGCATTAGCAACAGCATTGAATTTAATGAAAATGGCCAAGAATTATTAAAGAGCTCTTTAAATAACGAAATTGTTTTAAATGAAAACAAATTAATTGTCATTGTTTCTTTCCACCAAAAGAATAAATACAAGAGCAGAAAACAGCAAATTCAACATCAGCAACAACAACAACAGCAATTACAATTCCAAAAGCAATTGGATGATGATGATGAAGACGAAGAAAATATCAAATTAGATGATTCTAAAAGTGCTCGTAAAGAAGAGTTAAATGAAGAGGAGGAAGAGGACGATGAAGAGGATGAAGAAGAAGATAATGAGGAAGAAGAGGATTCTGAAGAAAATGTTAAATCATTAATTCAAAGTAGAGAAATTATTGTACCTGTTCAAAGAAGATCAAAAGCTTCAGATATTATAAGATCATTGCTTTCATCCAATTCAAATCTTAAAGAGCTTGGTGAATGGGGTTTATATGTTATTGACAAAAACAATGTTGGCTCATTCTTAAAAGATGATGAATTTATTTTCGAAGTTGATGAATTACCACAACAACAAAATATTGTTACACCACGTAATATAAAATTAATACCAAGATTTAGAGAGTACAGATTGAAGATGATACCATGGAAGGTTAGAATTTCACTTGAAAAGGTTAAGGAAATGGGTGTTATAGGAAATTTCACATCAGATAAATGTATTGCAGAATCTCCAATGGACCCAACTATGACATGCTCAGGTTTAGTTTATTATCTTTTAAAGAAACATATGCCAAATATTTACAGCAATTATTGTTTAGAGCCAGATGATTTCGGTTTATATTTAGATAACAGTAGTACTGCATGGAGTGGTAATACTGGAAGCGGTTATTGGTTAGAGCCATTAGAAAAATTACACGACTATGATGAAATATTTAAAGATCCAAAGTTAACAGTACAGTTAAAACTCAGACCTAAAGGTGTTAAATTAAAGTTTGCAGATGGAACATTTGAAATATTTAAATTAAATTTAATGTTGCCAACTGAAAAGATTTTCCAAGAGATTTCAGAAAAAGTAATAGATTCTAATAATAATATCAATTTATCATATTATGGCATTTTTATCGATAGACAATTAGATAATAATAGTGGCAATGGAAATGGTAGCAACACTAGTTTTAGCAATTTTAGTAATTTAAATATTTCCTCATCGTTCAAAGAGACAAAGAAACCAGAATGGTTAGAAAAGGGTTTACCATTATATCATTATAAAATTACCGATCGTTGTTGTTTAAGATTTGCATTAAGACCATCAAATATTAGTTTATCAATTGATTTATCATTATTTAATAAATTTAAATTGAAAAATAATAGTAAAAATAATAGTAATGGCAACAGCAATAATAATGGTAATGATGATTCTGATGATTCTGATGAAGAATTAGAATTTCCATCTGTCACTACCGGTAAAGTTGGACCAGCTATAGATGACGAAAATAATTTATTAAAGAAATTCCAAGATGTTTTAAATTTCAATTTGCCAGAAAAGACCCAAATTCAATTTAAAGAAATTACTGTAAAATTACCACTTCATTTACCTTTAGGAGAAGCACTGGAAATCGATGAAAGTTGGATTGAAACCAATATTTTACGTGAAAAATGTTCATTCCATTTCGATTCATTTGACGGTCAACCATTAAATCAGAACCAACCATTAAATAATCAAAATTTCACAGAGAAAAATAAAATTTTTGTTTTATTAGCAGAGGAGGAACATAATGATCAAATGGATGAATTCAATAAGGTTAACATTTGGGAAGAACCATTCGATTCAACTACAATTATTTGTGATCCAGACAATCCAGGTCAAATTAGAGCAGCAACTTTAAACAAATTATTAGAACAAGCCACCAACAACATTGAAAAGGATCGTGAATTAATGAACATTCTTTTAATGACATATATGTCTTTCTCAACTTCAGATATACTTTTAGATAAATTGGTCGAGCGTTATAATGTCCCAGATCACGAAAAAGACCAAAAATCAGTTGTACAACTCCATACAATCGTTTTCTTAAAGAATTGGCTTGAACAACAAGCACCACAAGCTGCCTCTGGTGGTGGTTTAGAAGAAAAGTTTTTAGTTCGTCTATCTGATTTTGTAGATAAACAAATAACCAATGATGGATATACTAAAATTGTACCACAGTTAAAGAAATGGATCGATTCAGCACTCAAAGAGAAAAGAGCATATGCTATGCCAGAAGCTTCACGTCCAAATACATATGGTAAACTCTCTATATCATCATCAATCTCATCAAGAACTCTATTGGATGACGAGTTATTTGTAGCACAACAACTAACCATTCGTGAATATGATACATTCAAAAGAATTCAGGCAGTAGAGTTTTTAGGTCAATCCTGGTCTAAAGCCAAACTTCAATATAAAGCAAAGAATCTTTTAAAGATGATTGAACGTTTCAATAAATACTCGACCGGTGTCTCAACAGCTATTCTTAGTCAACCTAAATTAAAATCTCGTGTTAAATTAATTTGTAGATTCATTAAAATCGCTCAACATTGTAGAGAATTAAACAACTTTCATTTATTAACCGCGTTTATGGCTGGTATTAGAAATTCAAATGTTATACGTCTCCGTTTAACATGGGCAAAGGTACCAAAGAAATATCTACACATTTTAGAAGACCTTGAAAAGATTATGTCAATGGAAGGATCATTCAAGGAATTTAGACAAAAAATGGCTGAAACTATACCACCATGTATTCCATACCTTGGAGTTTATCTTAAAGATTTAACATTCATCGAAGAGGGTAACCCAGATACAATCAATTCTTTAATTAACTGGAGCAAAAAGAAATTAATTTTCAATATTGTATCAATTATTCAACGTTGTCAACAAGTTCCATATGATTTTGGTTCATTATCTCAATTAAATCAAGCTAGATCCGAAATGCTTTTAAATTATTTTGATACTTTACCAACTGCAATTGACGAATTATTATACAAAATTAGTTTAAACTTAGAACCAAGACAATCAACTACAACCACAACAAATTAAAAATATTAAAATATTAAAATATTAAAATATAGAGATATTAAATATTAAAATAAAAATATATGTATATAAAGAAATATAGTTTTTTTTTTTTTTTATTTATTTTTTATTTTAGTTTTTATATTTAACTTTTTTTTATTTTATTTTCTAAAAAAGTTTAATTTTTTTTTTTTCATATTTAACTATTTTTTTATTTATTTATTTTTCTAAAAAAGCCAATGATCAAACAAATGATTAATCTTTTTTTAAAACTAAAAAGATAAAATCAAATGAAATATTAAAATTTGGATTTGATTCTAATTTTTGAATAAATCTATTATAAAATTGATTATAAATTTTATTAACAGTTTTTTCATCACCTTTAATTTCCTTCTTGATATAACCACCTTGGTAACCTAGTGTCGAGTCTACGAAGTATTTAATGGCATCATTTTTTGTAGTTGTAGCTTCCCTACTTTCTTGACTCCAATCAAGGAAAAAGTATTTCTCTACTTGACATTTAAAACCATCATCCATATTTTCCAAAACTCTATCGATTATATTTGCTCTAAAAAAGAGGAGTGGAAGAGTCATATCATTAACCTCTTGATGGCTGAGAATGTTTTCATTTGCCATTTCTCTGAAAATGTCTTTGGCACCTCTATAACCATCTTCAGTTATTTGTAATTGTTCTTCAGTTTTACCAGCACATAAATTAAAAATAAAAGTACCACCATTTCTTAATTCTTTGTAACGAATCTCTATTGTTTTCTTTAATCTCTCATAAACATAGACGTCAAATTCCGGAGTGGTGTTTTTACACTTTGGAAATAGGTCATTACTTTTGAGTGATGGTTCATTTTCGTCACCCCAATGTAAAGTAAAGAATGATATGATGATATCCACAGAGCTATCTGGTACCAATTGATTCATAAATGAAGCACCTCTTGAATAATAATAAATGTTATCCCATTTTTTTAAATAGGATTGTAAGTCATTATTTAAGAGAAGGAACAGCTTGGTAAAATCATTCTTTTCTTGATCAGTATGAATAATTTCAATCAACTTGTTGCATTTCATTTCATCTCTAATAATAGAAATAATATAGTTTAATTCAACATTCGAGTTGTATCCATGAGAACAGCCAATATCTAAAATTTTAATTGATTCTCTTTTTTCTTCAATGTTTAATTGAACTGATTTCATTATACTTTTTTTGGATAAATATAAATTATTTGAAACTAGTCTCAATTGTGGAGAACAATTAAAATTATAATTTTCTTGCATTTCAAAACTAAAATAATATAAACTTATTAGTATAGCTATTTATTTATAATAGTTTTTTTTATAATATTTAATTACCTCTTTATTAATAAATGGTTTTTTTTAAATAATAAAAATTTTAAATTTATAATTTAAATTTTATAATTTTAAAAAGTCAACAAAATTTTGTTATAAATTCTTTAATAAAAAAAAATATATAAAAAAAAAAAAATTTTAATAATAAAAAATAATAATCTATATTAAATTCTTTTAATATCTTTAAAATGATATTAAGATCCATTTGATTAATTAAAAATAAAAATATATGGGTGATTTGATATAAATATAACTATTTTTTAAAAAAAAAAAATTAACCCACACAAATCATTTTAGTTTATTTTAGAAACGATTAATCGTTTTAAGAGTATATAAATTTATATACTTTTTATTGGCCTGAATTAGTTTTATTTTCCAAACTAATAGTTTTGGAAAAATTATGAGTGATATTGTTATGAGAATTTTTAATTTAAATATTTTTAATTTTAGCAATATGATTTAGTTGAAAAAAAAAAAAAATAAAAAAAAAAAAAAATTTTCATATTTTTTAAATTTAATTTTTATTTTTATTTTTATTTTTATTTTTATTATTTTATTTTTCATAAAAATAAAAAAAATATTTAAATTTTAATAAACTAGTAATTGTATATTTTAATATGAATTACCAATATGATGAAGATGACAACGAAGAAAATTTTCAACAAGATATAAATAAAAAAAAAAAGAGAAAGTTTACTAAAGAAGATTCAATTTATGGTGTATTTAATGATGGTTGGGGTGATTATGAAGACGATGAAGATAATTTAAATGAAGAGGAATACTATAAAATGAAAAAGAGATATCAAACCCCCGTTGGTTTTGTAGCAAGTGGTATTTATGAACCAAACAGTTCAAAGAATAAAAAGGAAGACAACAGCAATGACGATGAAACCGATAATAATAATAATGAAAAGAAAGAAAAAAAGATAAAGAAAGAAAAGAAACAATCAAAGAAACAAACAAAGAAAAAATTTAATAAAGAGGAAGAGGATGAAAGTTTAGAAAATAAAAAAGTTGGTGGTATTGGTGCAATGTTATTATCGAAAATGGGTTATAGTGGCAGTGGCGGTCTTGGTAAGGGTGGCACTGGTATGGTAGAGCCAATCAAAGTTTTCGTTAGACCAAAGAATGCAGGTTTGTCATCTGTAGCAGAAATAAACAACGACAAAGTAAACCAAACTAGCAGTGAGGACGAAGATAGTAGTGATGACGATGACAATAGCGATGACGAAAACAAAAGATCATTAGGTTGGAAGAAAAAAGAAAAACTCAAATACGATTTCGATGAACACTTATCATACAAACCACAAAAGCAGCAAAAAGAAGAACCCAAAGAAAAACAAATTATCATTGATATGAGTGGTCCAGAAACGAAATTAATTAATAATTTTAAAGAATTAAATAAACAACAAAAAAACCAACAACAGCAAAATCAAAACATCAAACCTTTATCAGAATTCAAATTTAATGTAGAACTCTTATTGAAATTTAAGGAGTTGGAAATTGACAATACAAACTCAAAGATCAAATTTGAAAGAGAAAGAATTGAAAATCTAAAGAGAGGTCAAGAAAAATTAAATGGGTCCATTGAAAATGATAATAAAAAAATCAACTCTATAAATGAAATTATAAAGCTAATTGAAGAACAAAAACAAAGCCACCAACAGCAAAAAAATCAAACATACTCTATAGAATCTTTAAGAGAAGTTTTAAAGTTTTTTGAAATCTTAAAATTCAAGTTTAATAATGAATATCAGCAATTTCAATTATATAAATTAGAAAAGGAACTAATCGAACCGCCATTAAAGAGTTTAGTATCAAATTGGAATATAGAAAGTGATCCAATATATTTATTAAAACAAGTTAAAAAACTATCAACAATATTTATAAATCAAGAAAATAATAATAATGGATACATTAATAATAATGATATTCAAAATTTAAATAATTACTATTTTTTGTTAATTATCAGAAATATATTTTTACCAAAGTTTAAACAATTTTTTAGAAATCAATGGAATGTAAAGAACCCAATCATTGCAGCAACATTAATTTCAAAATGGTCAAATGTTTTACCAGAAGTATGCCAAGAGATATTATTGGAGCAATCGATCTTACCAAAACTAAAAGTCGAAATTGAAAAGTGGGACCCCCTAACCGACCCAATTCCAATACATCATTGGCTCTTACCATGGATACCTTTCCTCAAAGAAGAATTAAAAGTATTTTTCCCATCTATTAGACAAAAAATTATTAGCGGCCTTGTTGACTGGGATCCATCTGATGAATCAGCCTATGAAATTTTAGTACCATGGAGGGATGTTTTCGAATCAAATACTATTCAATCCATTCTAAATAGATTTATTATACCAAAATTAAAAAATTCAATTTCAACCATTCAATTTTTAAAACATCCTCAAGACAACGCAAATACTGAAATCGATAATTTAATTAAATGGAAAGAGTTTATGGGTTTAGATACTATAATTTCAATTGTCGACAAGGAGTTTTTCAATAATTGGGTTCAATTTATTTTTAATTGGTTAAATGAATCGAATCCAAACTTTGAAGAAATATCAAATTGGTACAGTTTTTGGAAGACTAAAATACCTGATGAAATTAAACAAATAGATACAATTAAATCAAAATTATCAATTGCAATCAACCTCATGAAGAAATCAATGAAAAATGAAATTATAAATATAAACGACTATAATATAATTTTAAATAACCATTACAATCCAAATAATAATAATAACAATAATAATAATATAAACAATAATACAAATAACAATACAAATGATACAAACATTAGTAATATTTCACACAGTAATGATTTAAATAATTTATCAATGAAACAAATGATAGAAAAGATTGCAATTAATAATGGTTTATTATTTTTACCATCACAAAAGAAAAATGATAAAGGTCAACAAATTTATACTTTTGACAAGTATTCAATTATAATCGAAAAAGATTTAATTTTATTGAACAATAATGGCAAATGGGAACCTGCAAATATCCAACTCCTCCTAAATAATTGTATCGAAAATAAAAAATAATAATTTTAAAACCATTACTGTTAACCAACAAATTATTATTATATATAATAATTATATTTTTTTTATATTTATTTTTTTTAAATGATTTTATTTTTATCTTTATTTTTATTTTATAAATCTACTTTATGTTCGTTTGGTGATTCTTGTTGAGCATCTTGTTGAGCAATTAATCTTAAAACTGTCTTTTTACTTGTTTCTTGTAATTCACCTGCCATAATTAATTCATCTAAAATATAATATGCCTAAATAATAATTTAAAAATATTAGTACTTTATTTTTTAATTAATAAAGATAATAAAAATGATAATATGAAATTAGTTACTTTATGGAAATTAAAAATTAAATCTAATTCGCAAACCTATAATAAAAAATATAAAGTTAGTATCTAAATAAAATAGTGAAAGATAATCTTTTTTTTTTTTTTTTTTTTTTTTACTGAAATATTACATTTCCAAAATATCTATCTAAAATTTCAACAAAGTGATGAATGATTTCTAAAACAATTAATTCATTGTCAGTTCTGTCGCAACAAACAACAAAATATAAACTTGCATATCTTTTAAAAATAATTTTATATTCTTTCCATTCTAAAAAATTACATAATTTTGGTGGTCTATTTAAAACCATATTGCTAATTTCTCTTGTGAAACGTGATTTCTCTTTTGTTGTGAATGGTGAATACCATTTTGTTAATCTAGTTTTACCTTGTCTACTTAATAATAATAAAAAGTGAAACTAAAATAATTATATTAAATACAATTGTATTAGTATAAAATATTCTTGTGTTGGTATCTCTAATAATTATTAATGATGTTTAATTAATCTATATCCTCTCCCCACCATCCATAATATATTATTTTAAATGAAATATACCATTGTGTTTTATAATAAAAAAAGAGATTTATAATATAAAAAAAAATAATAATAAAATTAATTTAAAATAAAAAATAAAAAAAATAAAAAAAAAAAAACTAAATTTTTAAAAAAATCAAAAAAAAAAAAAAAAAATTAAAAAATAAAAAAATATTATTTATTTTTTAAAATTATTATTTTTTATTATTTTTACAACCTCAAATTTGTATATGTGTTGAACAACAATTCTACCAAACTTTATATATCACAAACTCTACAATAATTGTTGTTTTATTTTTCAATTTTGTTTTTAAATTTTTTCTTTCAAAAATTAATGAATTAAAAAAATATATTCTAATTTTGATTTGCCTGTTCCATCAAACTCTATTTTTTATTTCTATTTTATTAGTACATCAAACTATAAATATAGAATCACAAAACATTAGTTATTTATTTAGTGCAATAAATAGTAACTATAAATAATAGAAATAATAAATAAAATAAAGGAACAATGCTATTAATAAATTCTTAATTTTAACTGTCCCAACATGGGATTCAATATTTGGGTGTAATCTGCCATAACCAACACCAAATGAATAAAACAATAATTTAAAAAACACCTCTTTATAACCAAATTTTAAAGGAATTAAAAAAAAAAAAAAAAAAAAAAAAAAAAAAAAAAAAAAAAAAAAACCCATGCTTTATATAATTTTTAAAGGTGATATATGTCTTTATTTTTCCTTCCTCATGAGGGGGAGGAGGTAATGGATCCAAGATCTGAGAAAACCCTTAAAAAAAAAAAAAAAAAAAAAAAAAATTTAAAAAAAAAAAGTTATTACAGGTTGGGAGGATCGAACTCCCGAGCCTTTCGGCGTAGAGCCTAAATCTACCGTCTTAACCACTCGACCAAACCTGTGTTAGATGAAAAAAACTTTTTTTTTTTCAAATTTATACCCAATTTTTTAAATTTTAAATTTATTAAATTATCAATCCTAATTTAAATAATACAAAAGACAAATAAAAAAATAAAAAATAAAATATGAAAAAGCTAAAAAATTTTACAGTGATAAAAATTAAAATTTTTATTGAATTTTTATGTTACACCTCTCCAATTTATTGAAATATAATGAGGTTGTTTTGATTTATTATCAATTGACGCGAATAAGGTAGTTTTATTTACATGGACAGCCAAACGAGAAGAGGTTAAAAGATCTAAAGCCTTGAACTCTTGAGTATAGTGTTTTAAAACAACGATGAATGTAGCGTGATATAAAAATGGATCGCCTTTATATACCAGAAAAGTGCCACCAAACTTGCTACCCCCTGAAATATAATACCCACGATTCCAAAGATCTTTGAAAACAGTATATTTTAACTCATCTTCTGAACTATTTGGAAATTGATAATCTTCTAGCCTTAATTCATTAAACTTTCTTTTATCTCTCCAAACCCTACTTGTTGGTTCATTTTCTATTGCCTCTTCTGTTGATGTATAAATAAATATATCATTATTAAAGCTCTTGAAATTGTTTAAAATTTTTTCTTTTTCTACTAATTTCTTTTTTAAGTCCTCTTCATTTAATTCCAATTTATTATTTATATTATTTATATTATTATTGTTAGCGTTGATATTATCTATATCATTATTTATATTTGTATCATTTTTTATATTATTACTATTATTACTATTATTAGTACCATTATCATTACTATTTATATCACTCTCATTAATATTTTTTTTATTTGATTTATTTTTTTTATTTAAATTTTGGCTTGAATATTTTATTCTAAATTCCTTTTCTTTTAAAATCTTGGTATCCAAATAACGGTCGATTTGTAATTTATATATTTCTTCTCTTGCATTATTAAAGGAATTTAGCTCATCAGTTGACACTGTTGGGTAATCGCAGGCTTCATTAATTAACCTAAACCATCCATTTTCCAAACCCAATCTAACTTCACACGGTGATAATAATAAAGGTACACTATTAATAGTTGATAAATTTTTAAAATTTTCAACACTTCCCAGTAATGATCCTACCAATCTAAAACTCTTTCTTATTTGATATATATCATCAGTATTCCAAACTAATGCATCGTTATTATTTATTAAATAAATGTTTATAACTTTATTATTATATTTATTGCTGTCATTATCGAACATTTTTTAAAAAAAAAAAAATTTTTAAAAAAATTTTTTAAAAAATTTTAAAAAATTTAAAAAAAAAAAATATAAAAAACACAATATTTTTTATTTAAATAAAAGAAGTAATTTATAAAAAAAGTATATTTTAATAATAAAAAAATAATAATAACAACCTTTTTATTTTTAAAAAAAAAAAAAAAAAAAAAAAAAAAAAAAACCTTTTTTTGGAATTTAATAAACCATATACATAATATCTTTTTGATTTTATTTTTTTATTTTTACAAAATTATTTTTTTTTTAAAATTATTATAATTTAAAATTTTAGAATTAATTTAGATTTAAATTTTAAAGAATTAATTCTCTAACAATCAAATAATTCCTCCTAAAATCCCCATTTAAAAAAAATTTCTCATAATTTTTTTTTATTTTTTTTTTATTTTTTTTTAAAAATTTTTTTTTTTTTTTAAAAAAAGGGGGGACCACAACAATTATTTAAAAAAAATTTTTCATTTTTCAAAAATT